CCCTCTGCTTGTGCCAAAAAACAGTGGCCATTTTGTCAAGCAGCTCATTAGTAATGGTGGTTTTGTCAGCACCTATGTTAGACATCATCTCATCCATATTCTTACTCTTTTGCCACAAAAGCTTTTAGACAACAGGAATTCAGAGCAAAAACTCAAAACCCAACAGTCAAGACCTGAAGTCCAAATCGTGCCTTTTGCCAGTCAGGTGGTGTGCAGTTGAGTTCAGCAAGAACACCCAGCACTGCCTTTGCTCAGTTATATTTACACAACCACCCGTTTCTCTCCTGCCCCATGTCTCCCCAGTGCTGGTGGAACTGCTGCTCGTGGATACTGTGCTCACTTGTGCGCAGCGAACGGAACTTGCTCTCCAAGCACATACGCGAGCAAGGCACCTTTTTCAGGTCCCTGGAATTCATCCTTATAATCTCTTTTGAGCCATCTGTCTTGCACATCCAGTTTTTAGGGAGCTTGAGACAGCAGCTGTGAGTTAGACCTTGTTCAGAACCAGAAAGACAAACTTTCTCTTTTGTTTAAGGTGCTACACAACGTACCTTAAATGGGAAACTGCAGAAGCTGGTTTCTGGTCCGGCCCCAGCATCCACTGATCCACCTTTCACTGACCTTCGAAGTCCTGGCAGCTAACTGGTACCACCAAAGTAAGGCATTCACCTACCAGTCCAGCCCCTTCACAAGCAAATAAAAGGTGTGAGATTATGAGGCAACATGGACTTTTAGGTCAACCTTTTCCTTTACAGTATGGTTCAGCCTTTCACGCTGCCATCAAGCACAGAGCCTGCTCGAAGTGCTGACCAACACAAACATGTTTGTTATTCCACCAGGAAAAAATAGGGAGCTGTTGAAGACCAGGGTCTGAACACAGCAATTATGCTGGAAGATTTTATTGCTCTGTGTCACTTCTTGTGTAATCAAGTGATAAATAACTTAAGTTTCCTGTTTAGAAGCCGATTACCCTTATTTAACTATGGAACAACAGCTCACTAGACCAGAAGAGGTTCCACTACTGATGCCTTGCAGCCCAACTGAGCCAGAGGAGAGCAACTGAGCAGCATGACAACATCTCAAGATCATCTGAGAAACCAGAGCTTGTCTATGTCCATGTGAACCTTCAGCCCTACACTTGGAAGTTGAGCAACACGCTATCCCACGAAGGCACAGGGACTAACATCCCAGAGTTCATGCAGAAATCGTCCAGCTAGTAGCTATCCCAGAGGATGTCTTCCCCAGACACACTCCCTTTCAGCTCCCTCATCCCCAACCAAACCAGTCTTACTGTCAAGGCAGCTATGAAAATGAGCACTTATTTCAACTCCTGAGACTGCAAGTGTTCCAAGTTTTATCTCATGGTACGAGAAAGCCCAAAACAGCTCCTAAAAACCATGCACCACTATCAAAACCAAGCCAACCACCACAACTCCCCTTCTTTGAACCATGCCAGGCAAACCTCCTCTGAAGGACACACAGCCATCCGACCCCGTAGAACCACAGCTGAGCCTAAATCAGCAAACCACACAAGTTCATCTGACAACCTTCTCACAAGCACCATCTCTTCTTACTCTGCATCAAACTAGAAAGGGCCTGAAGGGTACCTCAAGCTTTACTCAACATACTCATCTCCCAAGCTGTCAGTAAACCCAGGGCCATCACCCATGGCTTCCAACCTTCCTAACAGCCCGCACACACGTTACCTGCCACCTCCCAAGCGAGGCGGTTGCTGTACTCAAGCGACCTAAGTGGGCACCTTTGAAGTAGATGCTGAACATCTTGGCTGGAGTAGCTTTCCTCTTCCCAGCAGTCACAACAGACAGCAAGGAAGCCGTCGCTCCTAAAATGTTACAAGGTGTGTTTCCAAGCCCAACAATTCCATTATTTAACTGACTTGTAGTGGAACACATGAATTGGAGGTTATTTCATACAGAATTTTGGAGTATCAAGTGACCATCTCTCAATCTGTTTTTTGTGGGAAGTGAGAAGCCTTGCAGCACACTCCTGGATTAAAAAAGCAGCTATGAAAGCCATCAAGAAAAAACAAGAGGATTATTTTAACAGTAGCCATGGCCCTATTCTTCCCACATAGTCTCCCTGTCTGTGAGCAACAGCACTCATGGCCACCCTCCCAGCAGTCTACTGATTCCCAGCCTACACACACCATCCCAGTGTTGGGACATCCGAGGCAGTACTTGCCTTTGCAGCACCAGTAGCTGGAGCTAGAAGACAGGCTGCCCTGGCAGAGGAAGCACCTTGGAGCTTTCGCTCACTTCAGCAATTGCTCAAGAAAGAAAAAGGACTGAAAGAGAGAAGATCTGTGCAATACGTCTAGTGTGATGCCTACAGCCTTCTCAGCAGGTAGCTCAGAGCAGGTCCCAGCTCCCACTTCCTGTCTTTCTAAGGCTGGGAGCATCTTTCCAGCAAGAACCCTTGACAGTCCCTTGTTCCCTCATTTTTCCAACATAGGCACAACTCAGAAATACTTTGGTAAGACGGGCAGGAGTAACAAGACAAAGAGTAAACACGCTCAGGTTCGCCTTTGATGAGCTACTGTAGTTGTTTCCAACGACCAACACTCAGCCATAACCCAACACCAGGTTTCACTCAGAAGACTGTGAACAGCAGCAACCACAAATCCAGTGAAACCCACAGCGCTCTGCCTGTAAGGGCCCTTAACCACCATCAGGAGCTCCCACTTGCAAGATTCACAACACTCATCCCAGCACAACAGAGCCCAGATGCAGCAGGTGATGAGCAAACCATACCTCCACCTTCTAATACTCATATGATCAAAGCTGAGGAGAGATTCACACCCAGTAGCAAGCCACACAAATCTTATTTTTCTTTACAAACTGCTTACTGGAACTTCTGGAGGACTTGGAACCTGGCTGTGGTACCACAAGAGCAATACAGAAAAAAAAAACACAATGCAAACCAACAAGCCAAAAAAGCTTGAAGTAACCAACCAGAAGTCACACCAGGTAACAAACAGCGCTTGGTTTATTTGTTTTCTCAACTGAAACAAGACTCAGTAGGTTTGTTACCTGCAACCCAAGAACTCCCATCTCACCAGTGAGCTTCCAGGCGCAGTGGTTTCCAGTAAGAAGTCTTCAGATGTACAGTATTTATACCATACAGAGTACACAATAAATTACTATCTACATGCAACATACCTACAAAAAGTTACATACAAGGTAAAAAAATACCGTATTTTCTGCTCGTTTTTTGTTTTAAATTTTTTCTGTACATTTTTTTTTTTCATTTACATTTTTATATACATTTTTTGTAAACTTTTTGTATTTTTATCAAAGTGAAATCACAAAACAGTTGGGAACTTACAGCACCGCTCTTACCGTTCTAAAACAACGCTTGTGTCTACGGAACAGCCTTCAGCTTCTTTGTTCCTTCATTTCTACTTTGGCACCAACACACTTCACACCATTATTCTGAGCTAATTAGTCCTCTTGCTACCTAGCCAGGTTCTGAACATGGAGGAACACAATCATACTTCAATTTGTGCTTCAATAAAAAAGTTCAGAAAAAAACCTTGACATTAACTACTTCATCAACATCACGTTTACCTGATATTACTGCATAATACCAACTTTTCCTGCACTAACTTCTTTACATAAGCATGCAAACAAGTCTGATTATGACTTAATTGATAACATGAATATACTGAAAAAACAACTACAAGGGTTAAATATTAAAAGGAATGTAGACTTAGCAAGATTTACCACCTTTAGAAGTCTAAGCTAATAGCATGGACTGACATGTTAACAGTTAAGATTTTAAACACACTGAAATATACCATGTCAACTTCAGTGTAACAATATCTGTACTTAAGAAAAAATGGAATTACTCCCTGTCACACAATCTATACTCTCCTTTAGTGAAAACTAGGGCTAACTATAAACATCCTTCTTGCCATGCACACTCCTGTTGTGAAATAGGGATTCCTGAAGTTTCTAAAAACCTAGCTTTAAAAAAAAAATATCTACGTGGAGTACACAACTGAAGATGCTGCTGAAAAGGAGCACAGCACTTTGAGTGTTAAAGCCGTTTCAGTATTTGGCCCATTTGACAGGAAATCATTTCAGCCTGGTACTATGTGTACACATCGTTACACATAACCTGCTCAGCCAATTTCATCTAGTCCCAAAATATGAAAGGGTGGAGGTGCCCTCAAGAGGACTCTAGTCTCATCTCCTGCTCAGAGCAGAGTCAACCCTCAACTCACAGCAAGTCTGGGGTTTTGTCACATGGAATCCTTAGAACTTCCCAGGACCAAGACTGCACAGCCCCTCTTGGTCCACTCCCGTGCTTCACTGACCCCACAGAGCATATTTCTACCATTAACTGCAAAGTTGACATTTCAATTTAACTCAAGCCTCTCAATTCTAGCTCCATGCCTCTCACTGAAGACCCTGAAATCATCTCCTCAGCAGTTGCCTTTTAGATACCAGAAGGCTGCTGCTCAATCCCATTTCCCCCCCCCACAAAGGCCACGCTGCCGGTCTGAATGAGCTCACTTCCATTAGCCTCACCCAAGACCCTGAAATCATCTCCTCAGCAGTCGCCTTTTAGATACCAAAAGGCTGCTGCTCAATCCCATTTCCCCCCCCACAAAGGCCACTCTGCCAGTCTGAATGAGCTCACTTCCATTAGCCTCACCTCACAAGTCCTGTGCCTCACATGACACAAGCATCGTGGCAGCTTCCTGTTGGACTCTCTCAAGTTGACCAACATCTTGAGCCTCAAACCAGCCACTGTGAGAGTGAATGCCAAATAAAGGGAGGGGAAAAAAAAAAACCCTACTTCACTCAATCCCTTCGCTATGCTTCTGTTAACACAGCCCAGGATGCCGTCAGGCTTCATTGCTGCCAGGGCACACTGCTCCTGTGTTGAGTTCCTCAGGATTTCCTACCACTGGGTACAGGATGACATTGCTGCTTGTTAACAACAGAACCGTAAATGAACTTTTTTTTGCCTAACTGGAGACCTGAATGAGATTTTTTGTTTTTTCTTCCTTAAAATTACAACAGAAAAAAAAATCACAAGGCAGGCATTCCAAGCACTGATCTACCACGGCGGTTCTTGCCTTAATACAGTTCACAGATAACCACCTCGTTAATTATTGCCAAAAGGTGCATTCAAAACCTCCATCTAATACAACTGAGATGTCACGCTAGGACTGACAGCTCAGAGTTTGCCACTTGGTTTTAGGTTTGAGTTCAAAGAAGAAGGTGCCTTCCAGATCACTCGGAGGAGAACTGCTAAGGCTTTCTTCTCCGCTGCTCATATCTTCGCAGGAGTCCTCACTAGAAGGAACAGTAGGAAAAGTCATTTAAACAAAGCACAGTCCCTTCAAAGTGGCAAAGCAGTCCCCAATCCTGTGTTTTATTGCAAGCTGTTCCATTCCTTAACATCCCAGATATAAACACTTTTCAAAACTAAGCCTCAAATCGTAACCAAGTACAATTCCCTTCCTCCTAACGCCAAAAATCTACCAACCAACAAGTCAGTGTTCAAGATAAGTCAACAAATGACTTCGGAAGACTTAAAGGCTTTCTCAGCCTCCCTGCCTTAGAAAACAGGAAGGTACCCCCCACCCCAAGCACTTGTACTTTTTCAACACCACAACGACAGCTCCTCAATTTTTTTCCCCTCTTCTTTTTAGAATATATTTTCATGTCTGCCACTCTTTTCCAAGCTAGCAATTTTTTCCCCAAGTAGTACTGAACAAGCCTAGTTCAACAAAGTTGCCATTAACATTTCCAGAAAAAGACAATTCCCAAACTCATCATCTGGTCTAAGTTTTACCTACCTCCCACTTCCATTGAAACATCCACCCTCCGGTATCGTTGGCAACTCAGGAACACTGTAGTAACTGTTTTGTAGATTCTGGGCTGTACGTCTCGAAACAATCCAAACTAGCTTTTTATGATCAGGCTTGCAACATTCAGGAGAAGAATAATCGGCTAGGCATTTCGAGACCAGTTCTCTCCAGTAAAGCAGGTCACTATCACTTATCTGTAAAGGGCAAAAAGAGCCCATTTAGTGCATTACACAACAAGAAGCTGTGGCTGCCCCATCCCTGGAAGTGTTCAAGGCCAGGTTGGATGGGCCTTTGGGCAACCTGGTGTAGTGGAGGGTGTCCCTGCCCATGGCAGGGGGGTTGGAACGGGATGATCTTGGAGGTCCCTTCCAACCCAAACCATTCTGTGATTCTATGATTTCATAACCCCTCCCTCTATTTTAACTTTGCAGCAAAGACCTCAAAAATATCAGTCAAGATTTAAGTGAGTCAAAACTGTGATAAGTTTGTCAAATCCTTCAAAAATATCAGTCAAGATTTGAGTCAAAACTGTGATAAGTTTGTCAAATCCGGGATGCTTTTGAAGGTGAACTCCTAGACACCACCTAGAAATGTCAAGTTTGAGTGAACAAACTATCAGTTTGCCATTAACATTTCCCATGATTGCTTCCAAAGAAAAAATGAAACCAAGATAACTCAATTTCAGAATGGAATTATCACATACTTGATGGAATTACTTCCAACCCTCAAGAAACCCGTTTAGTGCAATTTGCCTCTAAGAGTAAAAAGCTTGGTTTTGACTATCAACCACCACAGTACGCAGCTAGAAGCTATAAATGCTACTTTAGTTATTTGGGCAAAAAGAATAACCACCCCAGCTGTGACTGTAGTCCTACAAACCAACTGCAAGCTTCTCTAGAACATACAGCTAGAACTGTGCAAGTTAAATCAGCTGCTTGTTCAAGTATGCCTTGTCCAGGTATTAAGTCAGCACATCTTCTGATTTTATATATTTAAGCTAGTTTATTAAACTTCTTGCTTGCCAGGCAGCTGCCAAGATGTGCCAGTGCAAAATGACTACCTGACCTCATCCTCTAAGCAGCAGTTTTTTTGCAGTTGGCATTCTACCTATGAAATCCTGTTAGTTCCACTACCTGCACAGATGCTTAGAGAGCCATTTCATTGCTTCTCTCAGCTGATGCCCAACAGTACCTGCAAAGACTGAACACTGACAGCAGGGGTCCCTTAAACGTAACGCTGTACATCATTAACTGCAACACTCCCAACAACTGCCAACAAAACCCACAGAAACTATTTACCTTAGAATGCTTCTGAACACGCAGAAGGATCTCAAACAGCTCAACGGATTTCAAAGTCTGAACTTCTAGAGTGAGAAGGCACAAGGCCAAGACAGATGGCTGAAAGGACAAATAACACCGCTCAACATGACAGGAATCAGAACTTAAGTCCTTAGAAATCAAAGATACTTCTACTTACTCTTGCTTTAGAAAAGACTAGGCGACAGTTGCAAGCTTTTAGCTGTGCTTCCAGTTTGTCGAGATTCAATACTTCTTTCCTGAAAGACACATTTGAGATCAAGCATTTGTATCAACAGGCATTCACTTGTCACAAAGTCAAAACTAAGGAGCTACCTCCTCTACAGCCAATGCCATAGTGATTTAAGAAGCAACTCAAAAGCTGAAGGGCTTCGCAAGCACAGAGACCACCACCGACACGTAACTCGGCTCACCTTTCTGAGGTATGACAGAGTACAATAGTATGGTACAAGTGCAAGAAGGTTAAGGCAGTAGTAGCTTTAAATTCAAAGTGCAACTTTTCTGAAATTATCTTTTCCATCCGTTTCAGGTCGGACGCAGTGCATTTACATTGGCTGATCCGGATGATGTCATGAGCAGATGGAATATTGCATTCTTCTTCGACTACTCGGGCAGCCAGTTGGAAACAACAAACTCCAATGCAAGACAAATGCTTCGGTTTCACCTAAAAATAACACAAAGTACTATCAGTACTTCCTGCTCTACAAACACTTACCAAACAGCAACACCAGCAGCTCACCCAGTTGAGGTGAGCTCTTTTGAATAGACACAGTTCAACAGGAAAGACAGATTTGCTCATCTCAACTCTACCTGACATCACTCAGCTCATACACCTCACCTAGTCACAACCAGTTTCATCACCTCAGTTTCAGCAAAACACAGCTGGCAGAGCAGTATCCATCTGTCACAGCTAAGTCAGAGGAAGTGAGGTTCAACAGCTGAGCACCCTCTATTGAAATTGTTCCACATCACTTAAACAACAAGTAAACGGCAGTGAGTGTAATACCCCTCTTCGCCAAGCGAGAGTGCTCACTCCCCCTCGTTTCAAGCCAACACAAATCCAGCCTGAGCCTGTTCCAGGCAGTCCTGCCCCTCCACAACTTGTCCCCACCTCTGCTCTTCTCTCCCACGTACCAGCCTAACATTGTGTGCAAACTCAAGGACAGTCAGACCAGCCAACTGCTGTAACTTTAGTTTTTCTGCTAACTTACTAACCGGAAACTGGTTAAGGTTCAAATTGTCTGCTATAAAGCAGCGCAAACATCAAGAAAGACAGACAGGAAGCGATCGTATGGCATTAGTTCCAGCACTAAGCTAAGCCTTAACACAGCACCTAGAAATAGTCCATAACACACCGTGTTTTGTTCCTTTTTAATTCATCCTTTCTTAGTCTTCTACCTGCTGAAAGCTACAGACTTCTTGGAGGAAACAAGCCATGCTGCTACTTGCCTTGAGAGGTAAGAGAGCTGTGTTCAACTTCAGCTTCACAAATGAGGACTGTAGAAACTTTGCTAGCACAAAGTAGATAGCCACAGTTACATCCTACACCAAAATCTTGCCCTTTCTGTCAGCACAGTTGACAAGTAACAAGCATAATTCCCAGCTAACACTATAGCAGGTCCTCTCCCCCCAAAATACCTTCATAAGAGCCAAGAATCGGTCCAGAATATTCACAGCCAAAACAAACGTTTCAGTCGCAAAACCGAAAAAGTTGGTCAGACTCCAGAGATCTTCCACCTTGGCATTCCTTTGTCTCGGACACAGAGTATTTTCGTTCTATGGCAAAAGAAGCAACAGCAGAATTATTCAGTGGCAGCAGTGATGACTGCCATCACTCACTCCCTAAGTCATCTTTTACCTTGATCACAGAGCAACATTTTTTTTTTTTTTGCTTGAAATACTTCATTTCTCTTAACTCAAAAATAACAATTCAATACTTGAAACTCCAAACACACCCAAGGTACACAGATTACAGGCAGATCCTGAGTCTCACTGGTGCAATACCCAGCACAACCACATTTCCGAGTGCACACTTGTTACTTTAAGACAATAGTTACCAAGTACGTACACACACAGTGACTCCTGACTTCACGGAAACAGATGACCCAACCCAGCTTATTCTCATCTCTGCCTGCATGTCAATATTTCAGCAACAAAAGCTCTACTTTCAAAACAAACAAGTACACTGATTTCAGAGATTTTTTTTTTTTTTGTTAAACATTAAGGGTCTCTCCAAAAAAATCAAGCCTCGGATGGCATGTAAGCCTGCCCTAAACTCTCGTCATTAACATGGAAATGTTTACCCTTTGTTTTCGGGTTTTTTTTTTGCTGTTAAGCCCTGAGTGTTTCTAGGTTCATCTTCCTAGACCTTGCTCACAGAAAGCTGATCGTTTCCCCATTTGTTAAATGCAAGCTTTCCAGCAGCAGTACAACACAGTGGCACCAAGCTCCTGAGAGGAAAATAATACACTCCTCTCGGTTCTGTGTTCACTCGGAAGTTTAAACCATAAAGATGAAACGGCGAAACCTTTCACTTGGACTGTAGGTCATAATTCTCTAATAATGTAATCTATGTTGACACCTAGAGATTGAGAGTTAAAACAAGAGCCAAGTGGCGTTTACAGAAGAAAGAGTTAACTTTTCGAAGTTAAAGCACATCTCCCTCCCAAATGGGTATTTTTTTATAAAACACAAGTATTTCCTGCCCCGAGGAGG